CCCTCACTATATTAGATTGAGCATAAGTTTCATGGGCTACAAAGGGGCAAGGCTGGCGGGGTGGGGGAGGCTGGCTGGGGCTGGGGCCCTGCACTTTCCGCCACCCTGCTGCACTCCTCAGGGGAGGGAAGAGGTGGGGCTCGAGCGGGGCAGGGGCAGGAAGAGGCGGGGCTGAGGCAGGGCAGAGGTGGGGGGCCTGGGGAAGAGGCAGGGAAGGGCAGGGGCTGGAGCAGCAAGCAGCTGCACAGGGCACCAGGAAATTTGCGTATGGGTAAGGACCTGACTATAATGATAGTTGAATACTGGAATAGGCTTCGAAGGGAGGTTGCGGAATCCCCTTCATTGGATGATTTTAAGACCGGACTGAACAAACACCTGTCAACGATGATCTAGATTTACTTCAAGGAGTCCGCTGGCACCTTAAAGACTAACAGATTTATTTGGGCATAAGCTTTTGTGGGTAAAAAACCCACTTCTTCAGACCCACTTACTGAAGAAGTGGGTTTTTTACCCACAAAAGCCTATGCCCAAATAAATCTGTTAGTCTTTAAGGTGCCAGCGGACTCATTGTTTTTGTGGATACAGACTAAAACAGCTACCCCTCTGATACTTCTGTTTACTTTCTCCTGACTCTGCTCAGGGGGCTGAATGTGATCACTAAGTCCCTTTCAGCGCTGCATTTCTATGATTCTGTGATCCTCTGCTTAAAATTAAGAACAGGGCCAGCTCCAGGGACCAGCGAAGGAAGCAGGTGCTTGGGGCGGCCAATGGAAAGGGGCGGCAAGTCCGGGTCTTCGGTGGCAATTCGGCGGCGGGTCCCTCAGTCCCTCTCTTCCTCTTAGAGCTGCCACTGAAGTGCCGCCAAAGAGGAAGAGAGGGATCGAAGGACCCGCCGCCAAATTGCTGCCGAAGAATGGAGCAGCACGATTGAGCTGCCGCCCAAGTGCCACTGATGGGGGCTTCCCCCCGCTTCGCTGCTTGGGGCAGCAAAAAAGCTGGAGCCGGCCCTGATTAAGAATGTGCTTAAATACTTTACTAGCTAGTAATTAAAGTAGGTAGCGCCCCGCAGGATCCTGTTCCCTGGGGGGCGGGGCGTGCTGCTGCAAGGCATCAATGCTGTGGACAGCTACAGGCAACACAACCCCCCAGCAAACCCTACAAGGCAGCTCCGATGCGCCTCGAGGGCGACTCAAGTGAAGCTCAGCGGAGCGCAGCCCCAGCGGCGCGCAGGGCAGGGGTGGGAGTTCTAGCGCTTCGCGCACTGGGGCAACGCTCGCGTGAAGCAGGCGCGGCGAGCTGAGCGCGCAGCCCCACCCCCGGCTGAAGCCGCCTTTTTTAGAACGTGTAACGCTCACTCACGCGCCTCCCGGCGCCGGCCTGGGCGGGGTTTGACATTCCTCCCCTCAGTCCGTATTGCGTCACTTCCTGCTCATGCGCCACCCTGCAGCATTGTGGGAACGGCAACGGGAAGGAATCGGCGCGGGAAAATGGCGGCGCGGGGAGGAGGCGGGGGCGCAGCAAGGGAGGGCGGCGGCGGCGGGCGGATGGACTCGGACCTGTTGCTGCACCCGGAGCTGCTGTCGCAGGAGTTCCTGCGGCTCACCCTGGAGCAGGTGCGGCCGGGGGGGGACCCCCCTCACCAAGCCCCAGAGAGGCCGCGGGGCGCCCGGCACCGCCTGGGGTCCCTGGGCCAGGAGAGCGGAGTTGGAAGATCCCTGCCCGGGCAGTGAGTCTCTCCCCGGGAGCCATCCGGCCTCGCGCGGCCCGGGTCCTGCCGCGTGCCAGCCTGAGCCGGGCTCGGTGCCGGTGCAGGGGCAGCGCAGAGAGCCGGGGAGGTCGCTGCTGTAACCCAGCTCCTGTCCCTGCTCTGGTTGTACCCGTGCCTGTTCGAGCCCGTTTCACGCGGATCGATGCTTCCCTGTGAAACGGCCTTTGAAAATAACAGGCCGGCTCTGGAGAGGCGCTGGCCTCCTCCACGCCAGGATAGAGTCAGCTTCCATTATAGCGCTTTATTTTAGCAACGCCTTGTCGCTTCGGTTTGGATAACTTGTTCACCTTGAAAGCTGTCAGATTTGCCAGAAAGTAAAAGAACATTTGCACGAAGTTAAAAGGGAATTCGTCAAACTGTTGGGTTATTTTAAACCTACATTATTAAAATGCCCTGATCTGAAAGTAACTTTAAATACATTTATTAATATACATTGTTGCTGACAGTTTGAGTTCACCTCCTGCTCTAGCAGCAAAGAGTCCTGTGGCACCTTATAGACTAACAGACATTGGAGCATGAGCTTTCGTGGGTGAATACCCACTTCGTCGGATGCATGTCCACAGGATTCTTTGCTGCTTTTACAGATCCAGACTAACACAGCTATCCCTCTGATACTTGTCCTCCTATTCTAGTTGATGTCATAGTGGTTTATTTGTCATCAGTTTAACTGGAAATATAATTTAGTACTGTTATCCTTAACTTGTTAAATCTTACCTGTGTGAGTAGTTACCTTGAATTTTAATATGCTCTCACGTATAGAGTTACAGGCATAAAGGTTTACAGATTCAAGGCCCATATGTGTGGGAGGGTATGTTTTCTTCTCTTGGCCCTGTTCTACAGTGGGAGAGAGGGAGGTCAACCTTAGATACACAACTTCAGCTACGCGAATAGCATAGCCGAAAGTCGGCATATCTTAGGTCGACTTACCTGGCCGTGAGGACGATGGCGAGTTGACCGCTACCGCTCCCCCGTCGATTCCGCTTCTGCCTCTCACGAGCTGGAGTTCCGAAGTCGCCGGGGAGCGTGTTCAAGGATCAATTTATCTGCATCTAGACGAGACGCGATAAATCGATCCCCAATATATCGATCTCCAACCAAGGGCAGTGAAGACCTGCTCTTGGTTGGTTGTATCTTAGAAAATCGGCATTCGACTATAGATAGCTAATGGAGAGCTGCCTTCTGCTCAGATGGTAGAAGCTTGTGTTTTGGAAGCTGGGGAATCAGGACTCCAGATCTAGGGACTTGATAGACCACCTGTGTGTGATTTTTATGAAGAGGTCGTAGCTTCTCTGCAGATAAGGTGGAAAACCCATTAAAGTTGGTTTGATCCCTTCTGTGATTCAGAGAAATCTTCATAATTTAAAATGTTTTGCATTGAGTTTAATTGAACTAGAATGTGCTCTGAGAATTATTTAAACCCATTTTTTCAGATGAGCTAACAAGGGCTGTGATCCTGCTGTTGGGTCCATGCAGGTACATCCTTATACCTGCGTGGAGTCTCACGAATGTATGTATTGATCTGCAGTGTTCTGTAAATCACCTATTTCATTACTTGTTTAAAATGTTAGTTACGTTAAATTAACTGTTAAAAAAGTGAAGTGCCATTAAAGTTATTTGTGTTTGAAAGTTTCTCCTGTTAATAGTGGCTATGTTCCTTTTCCCACAGAAGAACATACTAGTTGAAAATAATGCAAAGCTCGACAAAGATGGCCTCACTAATCTCTATGTTCAACATGCCATACCATTGCCTCAGCGGGACTTACCCAAAAGTAGATGGGGGAAAATGATGGAAAAGAAAAGGGAGCTAAATGAAACAAAAAATGAGAGTAAAAGGTAATTCAATTGTGCTTGTAACTCCTGGATAGCCGTTGGCACATTTTGGAAAACATAATTAGGTTGATCTTTTTCTAATCAGTTCATAAAATGTGTAAATTATAGTTTTTGTACATGTTGCTAGTACTTGCAGGGGATGCTGTGTGAGATATCAGAATGTATTCCCATAATGGTGACCCAGAAGGGGAAGAAGTTCAATTGTAGCAATAGAACGCTGATGATAATAATACCTAGTTCTTATACAGTGCTTTTCATCAGTAGATCTCAAAGCACCTTGCAAAGGAGGTAAGCATCATTATCCTCATTTTACAGACGGAGCTAGATAAGGGATGAAAAGCTTAGCACTTGTCATTGTTAATAGTAACAGTTAATGACAAGTAATAATAGTAACATTACTATTACTAATTGTAGTTGTTAGTTATATTAACATGTCTCAAAAATCAATATCAAGGCATAATATAATTATCTGACTGTGTATGATATAGGGTATGTCTATACAGAGACTATATTCTTTTACAGAGACTATAAACATGTAGGTACATTGCTGTAGCTGTGCTGGCATAACACTGTTGTGTTGGTGCAGCATTGATGGAGGGGGTTTTTCCATCAGCAGAGGAATACCACTTCCCTGAGCAATGGTAGTTACGTTGACAAAAGCATTCTTTCATCTACATTGGTTGTTAGTTCAACATAGTTATACCAGTCAGGGGTGTGGATTTTTCATACCCCCTGTCTAATGTAGCTGTGTTGACCAGATTTTTAAACAGTAGACCAGGCCATAGTAATTTATGCTTGCTTGTGTGCTAGGAATTGAGTAAGGGGCATCGGCACCAGTCTGCAACAAAAGTGTGTTTATTGTACCTGCCAGTAATTCAATACCAATTTTTTAGTTAAATGGCTCTTCTCTCATATAAGGCCTTAAACTCAATTTTGATCAGAAAATAAAGTGGTCTGAAAACTTTATTTTATTTATATTTACTTCCACACTATGGTCCAAATTCTGTAATGCGATGTTCATGGAAAGATCTCGATATCCATGTCAAATCCCTGTGATTTTAAAGGGTTTCCCTCTGCTTCACATTAAAGGTTCAGGGCCTCAGTTTCCGACAGCTTTATGTGAGTGTATTAGATAGTTTCTTTATGAATACATCTAGCTGTCTGTCTGTATTTATGCACTCCACAGTCCTTCAGCCAGTGAGCAGACATAAGCCTGCGATAACTGATCTCATACATCAGCAGCGTTTTGAAATAGCTGAACAGGAATTGAGTTTTTGGTACAGGCATGCAGATGAGCAACCAAGAAATCTATATTTCTTAAGAATTCCTGTACCCAATTTTACACTACATATAGATCTCATACTTGAGCAGAGTTTGCGTTTGCACATTAGAAATAATTATGCTGGTACAAATAAAACTTGTTTATAGTTAAACACATTTTATGATAAAAAGTAATGAATATATGGAGACCAAAGAATAGAAATAGGCCCATTTAGACAGCCACTTTGTGTTTTTTGTAAAGGTTGCATTAAGATTATTTTATTGGTGTTTAATATATTGTATGTTGAAAGTGCCAATTACAGTTTAAGTGCTTCCTACTGATTAGCCCAGGGGTGGGCAAACTACAGCCCACGGGCCCAATCCAGCCCCTCAGGGCTTTGGATCCGGCCCATGGGATTGCCCCCCATGGCGCCATGCGCCACTCTGCAGAAGCGGCTGGCACCACTTCCCTGCAGCCCCCGGGTGGGGGGGCAGAGGGCTCCGTGCATTGCCCATGTCTCCAGGCATCGCCCCCCGCAGCTCCCATTTGGCCTGGAACAGGGAACCACAGCCAATGGGAGCTTCAGGGGATGTACCTGGAGGTGCAGCAAGGGCAGCGCACGCAGAGCCCTCTGCCCACCCTACACCCCTCCTGTACCCCTGCCCTGAGCCTCCTCCTGCATCCCAACCCCCTTCCCTGAGCCCCCTCATACACTCGGCACCCCTCCTCTGCCCCAATCCTTTGCCCTGAGTCCCTTCCTGCACACTGCACCACCTCCCACACCCCGCACTCCCTTACGCACCCCAACCCCCTGCCCCGGCCCTGCATACAATTTCCCCACCCAGATGTGGCCCTCGGCCCAAAAAGTTTGCCCATCCCTGGATTAGCCATTATTAGGCAACTTCAAGACTTTTCAGTAGTTAATCTGCTGTTCATATTCAATGCTTAAAAATAATTTTGTCTAGCTAGTATTTTATTGGGTTATCTTTTTACTGCCAGCATTCATGATGCACACAGTGTGGAGAGGGTAGGAGACAGGCTGCTGAAGGCTTTTTAAAGTTCTAGACTTACAGCAGTTTTGGTAAGCAAAACTAAAACGGACATAGAGAAACTTGAGTTATTGTAACACCCTAGTGAGATGAATCAAAGTAGTTCGCACACCTTTTAGGAGTGTATACTATCCCCTCCATGGCTGTTGATGACCTTTTAGTAGAACCAATATGGTTCTTCTCTGCATGAGATGGAGCAGAATTTGGGGAGCTTCATAACCATCCTCTGTGTACTGTAGAGTTCAACTCCCCCAGGCTGCCTGAGTGTTGCTGGGAAGAAGGGTTTTGTGAGTGTGGGGGATGAATCTACCGGTTATACCCCGTAACACAGTATGGAAGCTGCTTCAGTGATAAAGCTGTGTTGCTGCCAAAGAGTAGCTTGCCTGCTGTGGAGTTTGGAGTGAAGGATTCTTGTATCATCCTGCCAGACCTTGAAGAACTCCCCAGAGCACAGCACAACTGTCTAGACTGTGTGCTGGGGCTCGGAGTTGGGTCTTAGACAGTTTATACCTCTCTGTTGTTTCAGGATATCTGTCTGCAGGCTCAGGAAGACAACACTACATCAGTTTGCATTTTGTTCACATTCAGCAGGTAATCTTCACAACTTTAAAGATTACAAATTGAATTGTTTTTGAATGGAAACTGAAATTCTGTAGAAACAGAGTTCCCTGATTGCCAGGAGAAGTTTTCTGCTTTAGTGGCTTCCTTAGGAATATGTTATTTATAAGATATCACTCTGTCATTTGTGATAACAAAGGTGCTGTTACTCCTCAAAAATACAACATGAGTGATCCCCACAATAATAAATACCAAATATCCTACCTAAACATATATGTAGCTCCTGAGTGTCAGTATCCACAACATGGAGTATTTAAAGAGCAATTCTTAGCTAAGGAATATCTGCTACATCTTTAGGCATGTTAAGGAAGGAGACTGAAACAGATAGTATAGCTTTATATTGTGGTATATTGGGAGTGGACATTGAAGATAACTATTATGGAGTGCATTCAAGATTAGGGTGCTGTTGTCAGGAATAAAAGTTGTAAGGAAAAATCCAAAGTGAGTGGTAGAGATTAACTCACTTCATTTGTGTGTGTGTGTAGGTTGCTTTTATTAGGCTCTTTAAGTATTTTGCTCATTTAAGTGTTAAATTAATGGATTTATTAAGCACAATTGCTGTATAATAAAAGGCAAACCTGATGGCCAGCTTTGATGCACTGTCAGTTAATGTTGTCTTGTGAGCATGGATGCATGTGCACTCTTCAACTATTGTTCCTTTCATTTTTAAAGAAACGTTGGTAAGTTCTATCATCCAGCAGATCTCTGGAATTACTTTTATTTTTGCATTTAAAGGCTACCAGCAACTCCATGTTTAGTGGCTGTTCTAATGATGTTGTAATTGAATCATATGGGTGTCATGACCTAGTTATTAAACATGTATGGTATTAAATATGTAAAGTATATTGATTATTTACATTTAAATAACCATGTATATCTAAACCACTCATGTGTATAGCCACCTCAGTGGTACTTGTTATAAAGTAACACTTTATTTGAACAACTTCTGTGGAGTATATCACAAATATAAGGTATTGTCACAAATGAAAAATCAGCAAACTGAATGGTTGACACTGAATTAATTTCATTAATTTACAGATATTCAGGTTTCCTGGTGATTGTCTTATCCATGTCCCTGAGGTTTAGAATTCTTTTAGTCCTTACTTCAGTATGTGTAAAAGGATAGTTATGTTAAAATCATATGTAAACTTTTTTGCCACTTAGGCTGTTTGTTTGCCTTTTGAATTATCTTTTGGATCTACACAATTTTACAGTGTTCCTCTATTTATAAATAAAATATTTAATTAGCCTGACCTGATTGCATGTAGATTGAAAAGCACGAGCAGTTCCAACAAAAAATAAATTAGACCCACTATTTTGGCTCAGGAACAACTTATTTCGGAAATAGGGATTTATTTATGTTTGTTTGTTTGTTTTTTATTTTTTTGTGAAATATTTTCACTAATAGTCTGTCTAGCCCCCATTTGGGCTTTCTCACCGTAAGAATCATGAACAAATGCAGATGTTAGGAGCAGTGATTTTTATAAAATTTCAAACTGCCAGTGAATCTTAACTTAAATGAAGAAGGCAATTCACAGCTCCTCAAATATTTGCCTTATATCTGGAATAAATTGTATCTGTTCTGATACAGTCGAATCCTAAAATAACTGTAAAGAACAATATTAAGGCTCTGCTAAATTTGACAGTTGTATTGTTTGGAATTAGTTTAAATTGGCTAGCTTGATATTTTTGAAGCAATTGCTTTAATTTAAATTGGAATGAGTAGAACAGTTTAAGGAAAACTACATTGACAAATATTGCCAGGTTGGGCTAGATTAATTTTTTGAATTGTCTATTTACATTGCTTATATCTTGAGTTACTAACGGAACTCTTGATAATCTAGTTTGTATTTCTGAGAACTTTAAAACTTGTATTTTCAGTGTTACAACTGTGGAAGGCTTACGGAAACGGCCACTAATTGTATTTGATGGCAGTTCAACAAGTACAAGTATAAAAGTGAAAAAGACAGAAAACGGAGCTACTGATCGCCTAAAACCTCCTCCAGCTGGAATCACTGCCGATACTTTTAGGAGATTATCTGTTCCTTCAAACGCCTCAACACACATTTCAGCCTCCAGTTTATCACAGGAGGTTAAACTGGAAACTAGGAAGAATGAGGCTAAACAGAACAGTGTGCCAGTGACTAATAGCATATTGGCTAATCTGAAGGTGCCACCTTTGACCCCTGTAGCAGGAGCTGCTGTTGTGAAATTAAAGAGAGCAGCTCCAAAAGAAGAATCTGAATCAGCGGTATGTATGTTTACACCACTGTATAGTTTTTTGCAAATCTTTTCCTTGAGCCTATGAAGGAGCAGGTAGGTCCTCAGATCCCTATATTGAGAATCCTTTTATAACATTATAACTGTTATATTTTAGTTTTATCTTGAAAGTCATTTTATATAATGATTTGGTATATGCTTTACTGTAGTACGTGCAGTATGGTTGGTAGTATGCAAACACATAGCAAGAGACAGTGATTCCCCTGAAAAGTTTATAGTGTAAAGAAACCAAACAGCCAGAAGGTGGGAGGGTAAACAGAGGTGCAGAGAGATGAAGTGACTTGCCTAAAATTGCATAAGAGCTGGGATTAGAACTCTGGTCTCTTGATTCCCTGTCCTGTATCTTATCCATTAGACTGCCCTCCCAGTAAAATACTAATTCTTTAGCACTCATCACTCATGTTAATAACTAGTGTTGCAGAATCACCTAAGAGTCCCAGTCATGGGCCAGGATCCCATTGTCTGGGTACCGTTCAAACAAAACAAAAAGATGATTCTCGTCCCAAAGATCTTACAGTCTAAGTACAAGACATGAGACACAGGTGATTAGATGAATGAGCACAAGGCAACAATGAGATAATACTGTTCAGTATGATAGTCCGCTCTCTCAGCACATCAGCTGTCTAACTGTTATAAAGTTGCTTTTGTAGGCATTGTTACCCAAGGTTTTCAGAATCCAAAGCTGTGGATTAACTGTTTCACTCCAGGTGGTCTCAGGAATAAATCAATGGGAACACAATGCTTCCGTCCTATGAAAGATTGATACAAGGAAGTGTGCTCTTATCTAAAACAACTATTTATTAGATTTAAGCGTGCACACACACGAGCAATACGTTTAGGACATCCGAAATAATTACCTAAAATCTGAGATGGTATTGAGTAATTAGCAGCAGGTCAGCAATGGCTGATCGCTTCCCTGCCGGGGAGTATGGTGTCAGGAAAAAGTCTCTCAGGATAGCTTCAGCAAACTGCTCCAGAGTGCGCTTTAAATCTAGTCTTTTTATAAGTAAATTTTTACAGAACACACAGCTCATAACGACCCCCAGTGGGTCATTACTTCCTCTAATTTCAGTCAACTAGTCATCAACAAAACATTCCTAGCAATCTTAGCTATAATAAACTTCTATATCAAAGGCACCCAAGCTCAAAGTCTTCATCCACTTATTTTCTTTCAGACTTATAATTTGTTGAATCTTTTTTCCCCTCCTCCTATTCTGATTAGCAGAAACTGCAAGCCTGCAGCTAGTATTTGACCTTCTCTCAAAAGCCTTCCTTGTCCAAATAAACCCTTAACTATGTGGTGTTCTATTTTATTAATTCATGGTGACTGAATGCACACAATATGGCTGCAATTAGTTTGATCAAATTCTGGTGTAACATACCCCTCAATTCCGGGGTAACAGCATCACAGTAAAGAAGAAGGGATTTGAAGGAGTACAATGAGGTGGTTTTATGGATGTTGGGGAGCTCCTCATGCATGAGGAGCAGCATGGGAGAAAGCATGAAGATGCTTGAAAACTTAACAAGTGGGCAGTCAAGGTTGGTGTCATTGGCAGAGCAGAGGCAGGAGTTAGCGTTGTGATAGCGTATGAGAGATGATAGGTTGGGGAACAGGGTGTGAAGGGCCTTGAACTACGTGTCTTCACTTTCATGTTTGGTGCACTGGAGAAGTAGGACCCAGTGCAGTGATACAAAGAGAGGTTTCAAGTGACAAGCTGAGGAAATGATCTTTGCAGTAGCATTTTGAGTGGCTATGAGTGGGGCAAGAGAAAAGGCCACTCAAGAAAAGGATGTTGCAGGAATCAAGACACACATTGTTGAGGGTCTGGATGAGAGTTATAGCTGTGTGGAGGGAGAAGAGGCTATATTTTTAGAGATGTTTTGTAGTAAGAATTGGCAAGATGAGGACCTAGAGAAGGCAATGCTCAAGATAATACTCAGGTTACACGGGTTGAGTGACAGGGGAAGAGGGTCATATTGTCCACAGTGATTGAGGAGGAGGATGGCAGGAGGGTTTGAGAAGGAAAAGACCAAGAACTTAAGTTTGGACTGGGAGGGCGGGCATATTCGAGTGTTGTAAGCATAGAGATAGATGCTAGTGAATTTGTATACAAATAAGATTACCCAAGGACAAGGTATAAAGGGAGAAGAGGAAGGGACCACGGATGGGACCCTGTGAAACCCCCACAGAAAATCTGAGAGTGGATAAGGAGGATCCTGCAAATGACACACTGAAGAAGAGAGGTAGAAGAAGAACCAGGAGAGGATTGAGTCCCAAAAACTGAGGGAGGGCAAGATCTTGAGAAGATAAGCATAGGCAACAGTGCTGAAGGTAGCCAACAGGTAGAGGCAGATGGAATGCTGGTTCTAAGCATTGACCAAAAAGAGATCATTAGAATCTTTGAGAACTGGTGCAGTGGAGCACAAAGGGCAGAAACTAGAATGAAAAGAGTACTTTACATCTATTTTTTAGAGCACTACTGTGAGGTAGGTATAGCTTATGTAACTTTTATCCCAAAAGAACCTAATTTAAATCCTTTGAGATAAGGGCCAACATACAGGGATATTGGCTGACATCAAAGAATTACTTACCACTGTAATGTGGCTACATTTGGGTGAAACAGCAATGTTTCATGGGAGTTCAGGCAAGGAATGAAAAAAAATAATCTCAGATTTGAAGTGCAGAAGGAATTTTAGATAGGCAGAATGTAATTACTGAATTAAAATGTTCTCAGGAAGCCACTTCTCTACTCTTAAATAATGCTAATCTCTTAGGGATACGTGTTTACTTTTCAGTCTGGGTGTGTGATTCCCAGCTCGAGGAGACATACATTCGCTCTGATTGAGCCAGCGCGCTAAAAACAGAATGTAGCTGAGTGAGAGGGGCTAGTTGCCCCAAGTACGTGCCTGTGGTCTCTGACGCTGCTGTGGCTACATTCTATTTTTAGTGTGTTAAGTCATTCAGAGTTAGCGTGACTGTCTCCTTGTGCTGAGAATCTCACTCCCAACTCAGAGATTAGACCTAGCCTTAAAGCAATTTTCATCCATTTATCTAAAAAATCTTTCTAATAGGAGGCCAAATAGAATAGGGCATCTCCATTTTACAGATGGGGAAGTTGATTTCTGTGGAAAATGCCATGTAATTTCTGAGTGCTCAGGTACTCATTTGTATATTTTTAATCTCAAAGGCAGCTCTTCCAGCAACACTTCAAAGCCATGCTTAAGCACTAGATCAATACTGACCCAGCAGGAAGAGTACCACCTACTGAAAACATCACTAAACTACTGCAGTGTTCTTTAGAGATCTTTTAGATACTGCCCATGTCCAAACTTAAGTGGTTTTGGAATTTGTTTGGTTCACAGCACAAAGGTGCTGTATGGTATGTCTACAGGTTTTGTTCACCTATTAAATATTTAATAGAGCTGTCCATTAATTGCAGTTAATTCACACGATTAACTCAAAAAATTAATCACTGTTTTAATCGCACTGTTAAATAGAATACCAATTGAAATGTATTAAATATTTTCGGATGTTTTTCTACATTTTCAAATATATTGATTTCTATTACAACGCAGAATACAAAGTATACACTGCTCACTTTATATTATTTTTATTACAAATATTTGCACTGTAAAAATTATAAACAAAAAAATAGTATTTTTCAATTCACCTTATACAATACGGTAATGCAATCTCTTATCATGAAAGTGCAACTTACAAATGTAGATTTTTATTTTTATTTTTTTGGTTACATAACTGTACTCAAAACCAAAACTTCAGAGCCTACAAGTCCACTCATTCCTACTTATTGTTCAGCCAATCACTAATACAAACAAGTTTGTTTACATTTAAGGGAGATAATGCTGCCGGCTCCTTATTTACAATGTCACGTGAAAGTGAGAACAGGCATTCGCCATGGCACTTTTGTAGCCAGCCTTGCAAGGTATTTACATGCCAGATATACTAAATATTCGAGTGCCTCTTCATGCTTCGGCCACCATTCTAGAGGACATGCTTCCATGCTGATGACACTTGTTAAAAAAAAATACATTAATTTGTGACTGAACTCCTTGGGGAAGAATAGTATGTCTCCTGCTCTGATTTACCTGCATTCTGCCATATATTTCATGTTATAGCCGTCTAGGATGATGACCCAACACACATTCGTTTTAAGAACGCTTTGCAGATTTGACAGAACATAAAGAAGGTATCAATATGAGATTTCTAAATATAGCTATAGTACTCGAACCAAGGTTTAAGAATCTGAAGTGCCTTCCAAAATCTGAGAGGGACGAGGTGTGGAGCATGCTTTCAGAAGTCTTAAAAGAGCAAAACACTGATGTGGAAACTACAGGACCCGAACCACCAACAAAGAAAATCAACCTTCTTCTGGAGGCATCTGACTCAGATGATGAAAGTGAGCATGTGTCGGTCTGCTCTGCTTTCAATCGTTATTAAGAAGAACCCCTCGTTAGCATGGATGCATGTCCTCTAGAATGGTGGTTGAAGCATGAAAGGGCATATGAATCTTTAGGGCATCTGGCACGTAAATAGCTTGCAACGCTGGCTACAACAGTGCCATGTGAACACCTGTTCTCACTTTCAGGTGACATTGTAATTAAGAAATGGGCAGCATTATCTCCTGCAAATGTAAACAAACTTGTTTATCTGAGTGACTGAACAAGTAGGACGGAGTGGACTTGTAGGCTCTAAAGTTTTCCATTGTTTTATTTTTGAATGCAGTTATTTTTGTACATAATTGTACATTTGTAAGTTTAACTTTCATGATAAAGAGATTGTATTACAGTACTTGTATGAGGTGAATTGAAAATATTTCTTTTGTTTTTATAGCACAAATATTTGTAATAAAAAATAAATATGAAGTGAGCATTGTACACTCTGTTCTGTGTTGTAATTGAAATCAATATATTTGAAAATGTAGAAAACATCCACAAATATTTAAATAAATGGTATTCTATTATTATTTAACAGTGCGATTAATTGTGATTAATTTTTTTAAATCAGTTGGCAGCCCTAATTTAAATACGTTCATGTTCAGAATTGATTACCGTTGACATTCTTGAAATCAAAATCTTTACTGCATCTTATATTATTGTTTTGTAGCCTAACAAAAATAATTTAGGTCCCAGTTTAGCAAGATTCAGTTAAGCATGCACTTAAATTTAAACATGAGATATCGGTGTGAGTATTCATGCTTAAAGCTAGATATACCTTTAAGTATCTTGCTGAATCAGGCTATAAGGAATGAGCAAATGGTTTAATTAACGTTACTATTCATTAATCAATGGCTTCAGAGTTCCTGGAAGAAAAGTATAAAATATGAGTTAATGTTGTTTGGTCCCTGGATGACCACGTTCTGCCAATACAACCAAATTCCTCATGCAATTTTAATTTGGTAATACTGTTGTTTACTTCCTGTCCTAAACTCTTTGGTAGTGTTGGTTGTACAGGAAGTGATTCCTGTGTGCATATTTGAAGGATGGTATATAACTGGAAGATCAATCTTAATTGATAATTTTAAGAGGGGTGTATTTTCTTTTGAATAAGTGACTTCCTGTTTTGGTGCACAGGTTGTTGGTTATGAGCAGACTTTTTTTTCTATAATTAAAGAAAACCATGTACATAATAAGGTAGTAAAGAATCTTTACCCTACGAGACACATTGTCGTTGGGAATGTTACTGTGCAGCATTAAACTAGCAAAACAGTTTTAACATTGGTCCTTGTTGAGACTTAGTGGCAGATTGTTCCACTAGTACGAAACTCAGCAGACTTCTTGCATAGTGGCGCTTGCCATTTCAGGCGTGCTGCTACTTGTTTTTAAGAACCACTCATGGTGTTAATTTGTAAAGTGTCTAGTCTGTGTCCTGATTACCTTAAAGACCATCTCTCTTTGCAACTTCCCAGTGGCTGAGATTAGCTCAATTGCTGCTCACAATACCCAGATTTGCACTCTCAAAGTTTGGTGTCAGCGTCTGTGTTGAACTGTACTTGTCTGGATCCTGCTCCCCTATTTGGTCTGCCAGAGCTGGTTTGACCTTCAGGGTATGGTGCAAAGTCCATCTGTTTATCCAGGCATTTGCCTGTCTAACCAACTGGAGACTGTTTCGTGGTTCCTTCTTATTTTTGATGACTGTTAGAGATTGATTTGGAGGTTGTCTACTTGCTGCCAATTCTTATGAACTTTTTATTTTTAAATTTGCAAGTGCACACAGAGGCTTAAGCAATGGGTTCCTCATTTATACGTGGTAGTGTAAAGAAATATTTTTTTTTCTCTAGTTGTAATTTTTCAGCAGTTTTATGCAGGTAGTCTAATTGTTTTTAGAACAGCAGCATTTTTAAGATTCTTTAATTTTTAAAAATTAGATTTAATTATATTGGATTTTTAAGAGTAGATTATATTCCTGTATTTGCTTTAAAACATTCTTCATGGATCAGACTTTAGTCTAAAGTTCTTATGTGGATGTATTTCTAAATTACTCATGTTTTCCTAGTGAGAGGGATACTTTTGGTAAACCTGCTCACCACAACAAAAAATGGGTGAGTTTGCAAGAGGTTAGATTTATCAGCCTTTATAGTTCTCCTGCTTCCTTTTTACTTTCTGGGTAAGCCTGACATTTTAACTTCCTCCAGAAGATGGCATCAGGAAGTTACTATAATGATGCATATAGTGCTAAAGTGCTCAGCTAACCCCCTCTGGATATTGTACGATAATTACTAAATACTGTCTAGTGCAGCACATCTAATATTAGTTGTATACTTTCTTCTATTCCAGAATGACCTAAAACCTACAGAAGCAAAGAAGAAAATCCAGCATGTAACATGGCCATGAATTAGTGGGGGTCCTGGAAATGTAAATATATCATTCCTGTAGTTCAGAACAGTTGAAGTACATTTCTCTTTAAAGTATACAGGGATTCACATTGTTGTGGAGTTTTCTTAAATTTGAAAGTTCCCTAATATAAAGCTGGAATCATAGTCTCACCAATCACCTTAAAAGTGTCTACCTTTGGTAAGAACACCAAAGGGGGTGTTCTTACAAGATACTAAAAAACCTGCTTTTGAATTTTCAAGTATACTGTAGTTCATCTCCTGTGTGTCTCTACAAAACACCTTTGTGGGCTTAAAAATGTTCATATTTTATGCTATACAGCTAAATTCAGATTAGTAGGTCATGTCCTAGCTAAATACCCAACGCAATTCTTGAAGTTCCAGGTGGTATGAAAGATTGTGCATCCAAACCCTGTTTGGGTTTCAGAATCTAGTTAAACAATATGGTATAAAATCATCCCATTGACAGATTTTATTCTAGAGAAAAAAATATTTTTGTTATACAGAACAAAACTACAGACTTGTATTTGTATTTAAAATACAGGTTAAGTTAGTAATAACACATGAACTATATAACATTCTTGCTTCAAATTGAAGCTTCTATAGTCATTTGAGATAAAAAAAATGCACATGGAAGCACATTATTAGAATCTATATTCAGTATGAATCTGAGGAAAAATAATAAATGGATTAGTGCAATGTTCTTATATACACACATCTGTATACGTGTGTGCAACAAGTTTCTTTTGTTATCCCAGTTATAATAATGCTTGTTAAAATAAAGTGGGAAATCCTAGAATGTGGGCCAACACTCTCCTCTCATCAACATGTAAAGAAGCAACAATCACTGCACTGGGTTAGAATAGTATACTCGTAACAATGTCTAGCCTCTTCCCTACCTGTGACAGTTTTAAAATAAGATTGTTGGTTTTTCTTTGAATCCCAGTGGATTTCATTTGGATTATTACTTGTGTGGTGTAATACACTGGATCTGGTCCTATGTCCATTAAAATCAATGGCAAAACTATTGATTTTGGTGGTTAAGTGGACCTGATCCTGCACCTACTTTGGGTGTATATGGTAAATAGTAAAGCTTCTATATGCAAAAACTAATATGAAATTTGTATTCCTCCCATATGAAAGCCTGTCACCACTGAATTTAAACATGCAGGAAATCCTTTTTCTGGCTTTAAGCCAGTTGAAAATGCTGTCAGCAGCGATCTGAAAGCTTACTTAGAATTTTTTTAAATGTATATGTATTGAAAATATGAACAGTAGTCTACGTCGGATATGGCTGAGACAGGAGTTTCCCATTCATTATTGTGGAATCAAAGGCACTTCTGAATGCTGTAAAATAGTAAGAATGATGTGTGTTGTTTTTTTTTTAAAATATTGTGTGCTCGTCTCCTTTTACTAAACACTAAAACCTGTGTGCAGGTTTTACACTTCAGTACAGAAAAGTTTCACATGTTAATGTACATTTTGTATGTAAAGAGTGGTCTTTTAAGTAGTTTTATCCTATTTAAATAAACTGAATTAAAAGTAATCTTTTCAGTAGTGTAGATCTATTTTGTAATGTAATTAAACCTGTTCAATTGAAATAGTGATGTTGAAGTGTACTCAAAGTCACTGAGACTACTCCTTAAAGTTAAGTATGTGCATAAGTGTTTGCAATATTGCGGTTGTAATTTTCGTAAATGTTACACTTTTTTACTAAATCATCCCATAAACCTAATTTAATTTTAGAACACCTGTCACAATAATTATTGTGATATCTTACTCAGGATAACCAGAATTGTGAGCCACCATGTTACCACTCTGCCTCAGGAAGAGTGAGCGTTGCTGCTGCTGAGCTATGTTTCAGCTCCCTGACACACCAGCTTGACAAGCTTGACACACCTGCCTTGCCAACAAATGCTTCAAGACTCTGCCAGTCCAAACCTTGCATTGAAGGTAACCGTCAGTGAACCCAAGTTCTCTGGAGTTGTCCTCCTGCAGTGTTCAGTCCCTCTCAATGGACACTCACAGAAGTTTGTTGCCTTCAAAGAGACAGAGCACACATCAGTGTTACAATAGCTGAAGACTTACACTTCACTTCAGTATAACAGCACTGAGATAGTTTTGTAACAAAACAATAAGTTTATTAACAAAGAGCATAGGTTTGAATGATTTCAAGCAAGAGTTGGAGATATGAAAGGTAGGTTACAAACAAAACACGCTTTCTAGTGACTAAAATAACTTCAGAAAGTTAGTCTTTGTCTAAGCAGGTTTCCCACCTATAGCCAGTTCCCAGAGACATCAGCCCCCTTAGCTGAAGGGATCCACTTTTTTAAGATTTCAAGAGCTCTGGCTTCTTGTGTGATGGATGCCAAAATGGCTTTCTGTTTCTGCTTATATTTCCCAAAGGCCATTGTCTGTTTTAAGAGCCTGGAGGTATAGCCTCCATCCCCAGTTGTGATGGTTAAATGGTCCTCTCCCTCACATGCTATTTTGATGGCTTTATTTATCTTGTATATAAATGTACTTTCCATTGTTTTTGGCCTGGCTTTGCTCAATTTACATTGGAGACACATCATAGTCCAGCAAGCGAAACAATATTCCTTTGTCTCGGACAGGTTGGGCTTATGCACTGCTTGCAAAACACATTTTAAGAATATATTTCCAGCACATACCTATAAGTCTTTTTACACCACCCATCCATGCATCATGCAATAATATTAATGACCAGCATGTTACCAGTTTGCATACAATACCTGCGTGACTCCTTTTATATACAGATTATGATAGCAGTAAGTTTGTCCATGTAAGGCACACTTTCTAGCTATTCCCTAATTAGAGCTCCTTGAATGTAAATTGTTTGCTCTTGGAAGAAAGATTATGCAGTTTAGGAAATTATTTGGAAAACATCTGCCTTTCAAATATTTGAGATGCATACATTTTCAAACAAAATATTACATTAAAAGGAGTAAATTGGCAAGACCGTTAAAACTAACTTTTTTCATATTAGTGTCATTTTCAAAATTTTTAACTATTTTATTATCAGATATATGTACATTTTACAAACCACTGCAATATTTAAAATAGCTTAAAGAATGAAAGTGATCGACAAATATCTTTAACCAAATACCCAGCTCTATAGAAGAAATATACCAATGACAGATAGCTGCAGTTATTTGTTCAAGTATCCCTTCCTGCAGTCTCTATGGTTCTGTGATAAGAGGTCATATTTACATAAAGATTGTTTTTTGTTAAGGCCAGAGGGCACCATTAAACACCTCTACCCGGACATAATGCTGTCCTTGGGAGCCAAAAAATCTTACCGCGTTACAGGTGAAACCACATTATAACGAACTTGCTTTGATCCGCTGGAGTGTGCAGCCGCGCCCCCCCCGCCCCCCCGATTGTGCTTTACTGTGTTATATCGGGTCGCGTTATATCGGGGTAGAGGTGTATCTGGTTTGACGACCTCAACTATGCTCCAGGGAAGAACTGGCTTTGTGTACCTTGGGTGGTGATAGATTTTAAGTTGAGTCTTCTCCCCTCCCTCCCTCCCTGATTGTGTATCTCGAAGTAAGTATAGATCACTGCATGTTTAATCTGAACAGCATTTTTTAAATGTTTAATTTTACGCAGATGAATTTTCTGAAATTTCCCCCACAAAATAAATGGCCACATGTCTGCATGCTACTCATTTAAAAAGCAAATCAAAGAACATCAGGGGGGTTGTTTTGTTTTTAACTATACAAGATAATGGAAAAACTCTAGGCCAGATCTAGCTTTTTCACTGCTCACAGTAAAATCTGGAGAGAAGGGAGTTTAGGGAAGAAAAATCTTCAAGATTCCCCTTGCAAAATTTTCCATTCTGTCTTGGCTTCAGTTTTGGCTCCTTGAGGGATAAGTCAAGGGGATTCATAGAAGGCTAGGGTAGTGCCTCCATACTTGTTTTGGGAAACCAGCATTCCCGTCTGCTTTCTTGAAACTATATTGCTAAGGCAGTTCCTGTCCGTGGCTGTTCAGAGGCTTCATTCATCACCCTTTTTAAAATGGGTTCTTTAGGGCTTGCCCTCTCCTACATCTATATATCCTAACTCACAAAGGGGGCTGCAGAAGTCACTGCTCTCTTCCCTTCTGTACAGGGCAGGGGAGATTTGGACATGAATTCCAGGTTTTCATTTGATCCGGTTATGCCTGGTCCAGCTCTCTGCTGTAGAAATGAGTTTCACTGCTGTATCTTGGTTCACCTTCAGAATTTTTCATCCAGATGTTGATTGCTTTTTGCAGCAGTAGCTTCTGATGCACACCTAATTTGCAAAGTTTAATAACTGCAAAAATAATTCTAATAAAATCACTTGTGTTATTGGAAGTGAGACAGTAATTCCACGTCCATGTAATAATCTAAGAATACTGAGAGGTGATACCTTTTATGAAAAATGTGAGAGCTGATCAGTGAGATGAAGTTAATGTATATTGGGTTATAAGACTTTCCTGTATGAATGCATTGTTCTAGCTCAGGGGTAGGCAACCTATGGCACACGTGCCGAAGATGGCACACAAGCTGATTTTCAGTGGCACTCACACTGCCTGGGTCCTGGCCACTAGTCTGGGGGGGCTCTGCATTTTAATTTAATTTTAGATGAAGCTTCTTAAATAAGGATTTTAAAATGTTTACTTTACATACAATACTTTAGTTATATATTATAGACTTATAGAAAGAGGAATTCTAAAAACGTTAAAATGTATTACTGGCATGCAAAACCTTAAATTAGAGTGAATAAATGAAGACTCGGCACCCCACTTCTGAAAGGTTGCCAAACCCTGTTCTAGCTTAATAGGGGGCTGTGAGGGAAAATAAGCAAGGAAGCAACACAGGCTCTTGACAAGCAACCTCCAAACCAACCTTGAGGGGCAGTTACAAGCTGGTGGGAGAAAAGATTGTCTCCAGCCAAAATACAAGCCTTGTTTTGCCAGGATGGGATCCCGGAGATCAAAAGAACAATTAAAAAGCCCTTTCTGGGGGGTCCGTTTGCAGGGGGACAGGTTGACACAGAAAGAGGCTCTGCAGAAGACGCTGAAAGATTTGGGTCTTTCCCCAGATCCAGGAAACGGTAAGTCTTAGGGAAAGGCAGATGTGCCTATAGGCTGGTTCATTGTTTTTTAAGATGTTTTTTCTCTGAAATGCTGTTCTAAATAAACACTACTTTGCTTTAAGAATGCTGTTTGTTTCACTGGTTGCCACTGCTATTACTCCTGTAGGGAACAAGTATGCAGGGAACTGAGCCTCTGTCACACCTGCTGAGGTAATTGCAGTTAGCACCTGTAACTACAGCCCAAGGCTTGGTCTGAGAGTGAGAGAATCATGTGATTCCACCTAAAGAGACAGATGATGGTTTAAGACCTGAGAGAAGGGGATGCACTCGAAGTGACTAGGAGGGGTCAAAGGTATGGTTAACCGGGTAACTGTGACAGTGACTTCTGGGTTATTCTATATTGTGCACAACATAGATACCTGGTGTACTACTTGGTTTTTCAGGTCCTCACCTATTTTTAAAAAAAAATTATTTTAAAGAACACTGGGAAGAAGTTCAGGTCCCAAGCGTGATCTCTTTAAAACTATTGTTTGATCCCAGATACATTGCCAAGCTAGCATGAAATTAGAAAAACATTGACAGGACATTACATATAAAATGATGTTTTATGTTCTCCTGGCTATTTTTTTATCAAACACTGTTTCTAGAGTTGTGCTGACATTGTGAAGGTTACTGGTACACGATGATGATGAATATATTGGGGTTTTGTTTTTTTTTAAAGTTAAATTTGAAATTTTGGCCTGTCTCCCCAAACCCACCTGGTAGATGTCTTGAAGAGATTGCTAGGGAGCTATGCCCTGCAGTGTGCAGGATCTATGGTAATCTGTGTGTAGCTCTTTGCCTTGACCCTTTCCACTCTGGTTCTGCTGCATGCAGGACATTCCAGAGCCTTTCCTTAGAGGGCTAATTCCTGCAGTCAGAAGCTCAGCAAATGGGGAAAAAACCAATTGATCAGGTTATAGCTTCCTGTAGGAGGCACTCAGGAAAGAAAAGCTACAGGAGGCTCCCATCTTGGAATATCCTGAGGAAGAACGCCTTTGTGTGGTTTGACAATGCTTTTTTTTTCAGAAGTAGAAGAGGAATTTCTTATTCACTGTGATTCAACTTTTAACTAGAATTAAACCTAAAGTAACAGTATTTCGTAAGAAAATTACACTTTATTTTCTGCTTCCACATTTAGTTTTTGAGTACTGTTATTTCTCAGTTTGTTTTAAATGAAGGAATTAATTTTGTGTGGAAGGTAGAAGAACATAATTACAGTTCATTTGAGGGTCACATGGTGCCCAAATAGTTTGCCGAGAGCATAACAAAGGGCATGTGCAACAATTATAGTAGAATCAAAATGGACTACATTAGGACTTCAAAAATCCATTGGTTTCAGAGTAATAGCTGAAGGGTGAGAGAGGTTTCCAACATACAACTTACAAGCATGTTTTTCTCTCAGTCTTAGTGCACCAGCTTGCACTGCTGATGACATCACATGAACTCTGCTGGAGCATGAAATTGGCCTGTCAGAACTTTTCAGTGTATTGTACAGTTTTTCAAAATTTAATTTTCTGACCTTGCACTGAATGATGTAAAGGTAAAACAGATCTAGGATACTAGAAAACAGCACTTACTTTTACTCCTGAGGCCACCTGTGTGCTTTAGCAGACAAATTAAATTCTAAATATACTGCTTCTCATTGTTGGGCCAACCAGCATACTAATCTAAAACTGATGGATTTAAACAACAAACATGACAAACAGGGTAGGTGAATCTGGCTTTAGTTCTCTGTGGATGACCAGTTTGGAAGTCTGTTTCATGCCTAAATTAGTGGAATTTGGCCTATACCCCAAGTACCCTTTGAAACTGGCTTGATATCTTAGGAATCCCATAGAACTTCTATGGACCAGCAGTGAAGAGATTAATTTGGTCTGGCTACAACCTGCTCATTGGGGCTTTCAGCATATAACTTGAAACATTATTTTCTAATCTTTATTCCCAATATAACAAAGAACTTGACATTGCTCCTTAAAATAAAAATGAACTTTTCTGGTAACCAACAACATGGAAACATTTGGAAGGTTTAGACTGGCCCAAGGGTTGGCAACCTTTCAGAAGTGCTGTGCCGAGTCTTCATTTTTTCACTCTAATTTAAGGTTTTGTGTGCCAGTAATACATTTTAACGTTTTTAGAAGGTCTCTTTCTATAAGTCTACATTCAACAATAGTTTAGTTATATATTATAAAGTAAAAAAGGTTTTTAAAATGGTTAAGAAACTTCATTTACAATTAAATTAAAATGCAGAGCCCCCCTGGACGAGTGGCCAGGACCCGGGCAGTCTGAGTGCCACTGAAAATCAGCTCGCATGCCGCCTTTGGCATGTGTGCCATAGGTTGCCTACCCCTGGACTAGCTGATAGTACCCTGTCGTATATGGGAACAATCTTGTCAACAGATGTCTCGGATAAAAACATGGATACAGAAACCAAGTGACCTATTCTGAAAGTATGTAGAAAAAGTATATCATCTGAGCTTAAGGTTTCCATACATCCAGGTATACCGTTCAAGGACAACTGCTACTGTATTTTGGAATAATTTATTTACAGTGGTTAGAATATCACTTTTCTGGCATGCTGCTTGGAGAGCCTCCTGAATGCAATCAGTACCATGATCAGATACCATGGTGATAGATGCAGTATAAGGACATAGGTGGGTAGTATTGTATATGTTAAGTGCATTTTTGCTCACATAGAAAGTGATGATAAAAATGATAGTGTTCACTTATCTGATATTGTAAAACCAAAATTGGGACTGGATGGCTTTTTTTTAATCTTTATTAAATAATGTGATTGTGCAAACAGAACTGTGAACTACTTGTATATATGAGAGTTACCTACACAAACTGCACTGCTATACTAATTTTAGTTTTTAAAGGAGATTCATTGCAGGTAATAAGTAACCCATGTTGGGTACAAAGATTTCCAAAGTTGCTTTTTCTCTCTTTATTCTGAAAGCTGATTTGCATCCGTAACTATGACAGGAAAATTCTTCTATTCTGAAAGTACGTCAGGTATAATTAACTGACTGATCTTCTCCAACTCCTGCTGAATACAAATTACTTCCATCTGGAAAGTGCATAAAGAGGGTATTCACTGTCTGACATGGCCATCATCCTTGAAGTTTGTGCCAGGAGTCTCCTTCAATGGATTGTTTTTCATGATATTATTCCACTGCCAGCACATTCTATCACCCACAATTTTCTCTGTAGCAAATCTAAACTAGAAATGGTGCCAGATGAAAAGGTGTTGGACGTGAATACACATGTTGCAATAGTAGCTATGCAAAGTTAAAATTAACATTTGTCATGGCAGGTATGTTACTTTGTGACTTCTGTACAAATAAATCTCTCGTGTGTTCTCTTGAGCTCTTAAATTGTTTGCTAAATTTTGAGTTTAGACCTAGAAAGAATTATGTAAATTACAAATAAACAACATGGCTGGATTAAAGTCATGCCTTCCCTGGTGAGGCTAAACCACCCCAAAAAATTCATATACCAGTCAACAGTTAAAGTCCATTCATGAATACATTTTGAGATGTTAATTTGGTTTTTCTCTAGCAGTAATGTTCATTACAAATTCATACCACTTGTAGCATAGTGAGTGGCCTGTTCAGAAGTTGTCTTGTACCGAGCAAGCACAGTAACTAAACTGAAATATTTGTAGGTAACATGAAGACTTTGGAAGGTATGACTGAATAAAATACAAGCTTGATAAATTGGAGAAACTGGCTGATATTGAAATAAGATTAAATACAAAGACAAAGAGATTAATCTCTGAGGAATAATCAAATTCACAAATATGGCATAGAAAAATTGATAGGTAGATGATAAAAATAGCTGTAGAGACAGCTCTCCCATTTTATAAAACCACTGTATAAACTTCAGGGATGTAAATATTATCTCAGTGTTACAGGTGGGGAAATGGAGCTATTAATTGAATTACCCAGTGCTGCATGCACAGACTCAGAAAAGTCGCTATTCCTCAGCTCTAATTTCAGTCCATGAAACCACACCAGTAATAACAGAAAGACCTGTAGAGTCCTGCAAATCTGCTTTATAGCTGTGGACCGACCATGTTTGCGGATTGGATGCAGATACAGATTTTGTATCCGTGCAGAGCTCTAAGGGGCTGAAGGCAAAAAATAATGGAAACAGTGTCAGCAATGGTACAAAAAAAAAAATTAAATTAGGGTGTACTTAAAAAGTAATATGTAAAACAAGCCAAGTAACTATTACACTGTATCCAGCTCTGGGTGAGGTTGCAGCAGACAACTGCGTTTAGCTGTGAGAACTATATTAAAAAAAAAATGGAGAGGGGAGAGGAAGGACAAATTATATTTTTCAGTGTTAACTAGGCTCCTACTGTGTGCAATTCTGGTCTCCCATGTTTTAGAATGGATTCTCAAACTGGGGGGTTGGGACCCCTCAGGCTGTTGCAAGGTTATTACATGGGGGGGGAGGTCGCGAGCTGTCAGCTTCCACTCCAAACCCTGGTTTGCATCCAGCATTTATAATGGTGTTAAATATATAAACAAGTGTTTTGAATTTATAAGGGGGGTCGCACTCAGAGGCTTGCTACGTGAAAGGGGTCACCAGTACAAAAGTTTGAGAACCACTGTTTTAGAAAGATGAATTAAAACTGAACAGGGGTAGGGAAGGGCTACTAGGATGATCAGAGGAATGGAAAAGTAACCTTATGAGAGGAGACTCGAGCTCGGCTTGTTTAACCTAACCAAAAGAAGGCTGAGGAGAGAGATGATTGTTCTCTATAAATACATCAGAGGGATAAATACTAGGGAGAGGGAGGAGTTATTTAAGTTAAGCACCAGTGTTGACACAAGAACAAATGGATATAAACTGGCCATCAAAAAGTTTAGTCTTGAAACTAGATGAAGGTTTCTAACCAATAAAGGAGTAAAGTTCTGGAACAGCCTAACTGACTTCAAGACTGAGCCTGATAAGTTTATAGAAGGTATGATCTGATGAGACTGCTTACTGTGGCATGTGGCTCATCTGTGACTGCTAGTAGCAAATATCTCCAATAGTTAGTGATCAGACACATTTTTTCTCTCCAATTGCTGTGTTTTACCCATAAAATCACACAATGTTTTGGACATGGTCAGCATTTTTATATAAGGCCATATGGATTCTAAATTGACCAACTACCTCAAATTGTAGTTGATGTTAAAACTTTATTTTCAGAAGAATACTTTTTACCGGTTTTTAAATACAGCAATTGAGCATACATTAATTATTGTAGTGGGTGATATTTCTTTGGTCTTTTTGCACATTTTAGTTACTATTCATTTCTGTTTGGAGAGTCTTCCTCCCATTGGAATCAATGGGAGATTACCTGCTATTTTGGTGCGTCCATTTGAGGATAATTATCAGAACCTTGCAAATTCAGTATTACCGGTACTTTGGGGAAGTGGGTTGTATTTATATGGTTTATGTTGTATTTTTTTAAACTTTGGAAGCGTTCTACGCACACTCTACTTTAGAAAATGTTGACACATTAAAAGTAATAAAAAAATCAAAATCACAAAAAATTTGAATTTATTAAATGATTTTATTATTTTAAGAAATACACTATGCAGTGTAGTTTCAATTGATACTGACAACAGAATTTGTATTTCACACAATGATCATCTAGTCATGCAATAAAATATTTGTTATAGAACACTCCCACTTAAATGATTGATTAATCATTTTTTCCTAGTTAAGGCATGGCACAGATCCTTTAACACTGATACACATGCTACATTCTCATCTTTCTACACACTTGACAGCACACTGCAATTACACATTCCAAGAACACTAGGCTTGAATTCCTGGCCTATTGAAGTCAAATGGAGTTTTGCCATTTACTTCAGTGGGTCAAGATTTCACCCTGAATCTCTCTCTATGAAGTTATAGCACATAGTCATTGTAATCCTTCAAACATATCACTCTCTTAAAGACTAAGGTTTGTAAATTCAAATATTAGGTGAAGAAAAGAAAATGTCAATAACCGTCAAAACATTTCATATATCAAGTCTTGCACTTATCTTGGTTAACTGTGTAAATTCTTAACCATCAACAACCCATCTAGAGATTCTGAGATCATTTGTTGCCCCCCTCCCAATCCGCCTTCGGATTTAGACAGTCTGGAGGAAAAAAAGGTTACGTGGTGTGAATGGTACTGAGAAACACAGAAGAGTAAAGTCTTCGTATGGTTGACTAAAGCTAGTACACAACATCGCATGTTTCAAAAAATATGTATTGCAAGCACAACTCTGCTTTCCTCCTTGTTTTAAACTTTAAATATCTTTCCCACACTCGGGGCAAAGGATGTCATCCCTTTCTGTGAGGAAGCCGCGGCCCACTAATGAAAGAGAACACTTCTTACAGTTAAAGCAGTCATTATGCCACTGCCGTTCTTCAAAGGAGATATACTTGGTTCCTCCGAGTCCTATTTAAAAACCAAAAGTAATAAGGAAAAACAATAGAGTACCAGTCATCAGGTGGCTTAGTGTAAGAAAGCTATTTGGGGACTCCTACTGATATCGGATATAAGGCAATGAAAGACACTTTGTGACAGAGAATTCCATTCCTGCTTTGTTTTAGTCTAATTTTGCCATCCTTACATGTGGTGAGTAGTATCCTAGGGCTTATCTACAATTAAAACACTACAGCTGCACTTCTGTAGAGCTTCAGTGTAGACACTTCCTTTGTCAACGGGAGGGGTTCTCCCATTGGCGTAGATAATCCACCTCCCAGAGAGGCAGTAGCTAGATGATTAGAAGAATTCTTCTATCGACCTAGTGCTGTCTACATGGGGATTTAGGTCATCTTAACTATGTCACTCAAGGGTGTGGATTTTTCACATCCCTGAATGGCATTGCTGGTTTGATGTAATTTTCTAGCATAGAGCAGCCTTTAATCTTCATGCTACTCAGTGTGAATAGGAACTGGACCTTAAGTGATGGACTTGAGCCTTAGCTGATGGATTTGACAGAGAAATGGACTATAATGTACAGGAGTCAGAACAGAGAGGAAAGATATGGGTTAAAGAAATAATATAACATGGTTATTCAGTACAGGGATACATATGTCTTGAAAGATTAGGGTTTTTAAAAAAAAAATTTAATGTTAACTTGCTCAATCGTGAAGGTAACGTTGCAGAACTGGGATTGAGTGACCTGAGTAGAGCGAAGGCAATGGTTTGATAGTTTTGAGGAGGGTGCGTCAAGAAAGTGGAAGCATGGGAAGAAAGTGCAAAAATATTTGAGAGAAAGAGGTGAAGGGGCCATTGAGGATGGCCTCATTGGTGAAGCAGAAGTTTGGAGGAAGGTGAAAGGGGACAAGGGCCCAGATTTCAATATGAGTTATGTGTTGCATGACCTTGAAAGCAAGAACAAGCTGTTTGAACCTGTTGCCGAGGGGCAGTACAGTCCCAGCCAGTGAAGAGACTGAAAGGATGTGTGCAACGTGGTTGAATTGACAAGTGAGAGATGATTTTGGCAAGAGTATTTTGGACAGTTGGGAGGGAAGTAGGGTGACCAGACAGCAAGTGTGAAAAAGCGGGACAGGGGTGGGGGGTAATAGGAGCCTATATAAGAAAAAGACCCAAAAATCGGGACATCTGGTCACTCTAGAGGGAAGTGAAGTTAGTATCAAAAAGCTCAAAGGGGGAGATTGCAGCATAAAGATAGACAGAAAATGTTGAATTTCCATGATGACAAAGAAGTGCTAAGTGTGCCATCCAAAGTGGACTATTGCTAATGGCAGGAGAGGTGTAAGCAGACAGGCAACGAGTTGTGGCTCAGAACCTCAGTCTTGGACTGTATAACTCACATGTCTAAAGCATTGATCACCTCACTTGGAGGGTGATATTTTTATGCTTAGTCATACAGCACTATATAATTGTTCTCTTTAATATTTTTATATTGAAGGGCAGTGCCTCAAAGCCTTGTGATTTCTAAGCACCTATCTTGAAAATCCAGGAAAACCCTATTGCAGTCGAATATGAGACATAATTAAATGTACTTTCTATTGGGAGGGAAACTATTGTTGGTGAATACAGTAGTGTCTCAGAAATAAAAGTAGGTTGAATACCATATGGGGTATGTATGTTATACGGTATGCATAGCTGTTTTAGGATATGTCTACATGTTCCCTGGAAATCAAATGAAAAGGAGAAAAATTCAAAGTAAGGACTCATTCCAATTTTTCCAAGACTCCAAAGATTGCACAAATAAAAGTGCTCAAATTCAGGATATGATATGACTGGGATATTTGTTGGGTCTCTTAAATTAACCTGACCACTGCATTTCTAACAAATATTTTTAAAATTAATTGCTTCTACATTTCTGAAGATCATGGTAGTAAGACACCTACCACTGATGGGGTTGGTGCATCCAGCACACTTTTTGGCATAGAGATTGCAGAAGCAGCTGAGGCAATATGCAAACTCATCCCGGGAGGTAAAGCGCTGTCCAGACAACTGCTTCTTGCATCCAGTACAAACAAAGCACTCCTTGTGCCAGGGCTGCTCCCGGTAGGTTACACCTCCTGTAGTGATAGCCTGTGGTTTGTGTTTTTTTTTTTCAAGAATAAAAGAGGTTTTGTGAGGTCACCTTCTTACTGAGGATGACTTCTTTTTAAAACCAGGAATAACATTGATGCTTACTGGCAGGAACTGACCTTGAGAGGGAAGCCTTGGTTTGGGATTGTCGTGCCCAATTATGCAAAGTCTCATCTTTAAACAACTCATTTGCTCCCTTTTCATCTTGTAATCTTGCTCAAAATTGTCCTCTTTGTATATAAAACCCTTACACCATCCTGGTGGTTCATTACCATGTTTTCCTCTACTCCTTTCCTTGTGCTCACCTCAGCATTGGCCTCCTTTCTATGCTCTCACATAATCCCATCCCTGGTGGTGAAATAATTTATCTCTGCAGCTTCTGCTGTCTGAAACAGCCTCCTTTTATTTTTCCTCCTCATCAACAGACCATTTAATTTCAAATCTCTGCTGAAAATGTATCTCTTCTCCTTTGCTTGCATCTCTTTGACCCAGTCCCGGACATCCATCACATAACGAGTCATTCAAACCATCCCACTGAAGTCAGCGATACTAAATTATGTTAGCAAGGAATCAGCCACAAGACTTTGAGTTGCAGGATCAAGTCATTCATTTATTTATTCCTCTGGTATTTTTTAATTCTAATTCACTAAGAATGATGGTGTATGAATTATAGGAAATATGTTGTGCAAATAATTGACCTGATCCTGCAAACGCCTGTGACCTATAACTGAGTAATGACTTCAGAAATGTTGATTTCAGAAAATATATGCTATAAACATGGCAACTCTTTCTTTTTTCCTCTTGATCTTTATGGTTGGAATTTTCAAAAGGACTCAGCATTAGCCTAACTCAACTCCTGTTTAAGTCAATGGGAAAATATTATTGATTTCAGTGGGAGCTGGGTTGGATCACTGATGAGTGCTTTAATTTGAAATTTTCATGCTGCATGCCTTTCCCACACTCAGAGCTAAAGATGTCATCCCCTTGTAGGAAACATCTCATGGTAATAAGCATTGAGCTTGTTAATAAGGGTTTGCAGGATTGGACCCTAAAGTTGTACTGCATATCCTAAGGTCAGTTGATTTTATCATTGTTTTCATAACAATTTATCTCACACACAGAAAAACAAAAAACCCTCCACCAATTTAGTAGGTATGACAAATTTGTAAATTTGAGATACATAAATTAAGAATAATACCTTCTTACACTGGACACACTGCATGGCAAACTGCTTTTCATAGCAGGGTACGCAGAAGTTTTGATTATCTTTGGGGATGAAGCTCTTTGTTCCAATTGGTTGTTGACAACGATGGCAGATAAAGCAGGTCTCATGCCAGCTGTTGCCCTTATACTCCATCTTGCGTGTACCTGTCATGAGATCAAAGCACAAAATGAAGTCCTTCATGCTGACAGTTATAGCAGTTTTAACCATTGTAGTTTTGAATTGGTTCTACTGATTGCTAGAACCTGTGTAGTGATTAGTTAGCATAGCAAGGAGTTGGGTGTTGTTCATAGAGGAAGTTTCCAGAGTGTGTGAGTTATTGTAAGGAGAGAGGAGTAGCTACAGAAAGATTCAGGCTTCCTTTAGATGGCACTGTGAGAATTCATTCATTAGGAATTCTTGTGAAATCTGCAGTATTAGCCTTACCTTCGCTCTGTTCCACACCTTTTATTAAAGTCCTACAGTTATTTCTTCATTTAGTTTCTGCTTTGTGTTTGTGCCTCAGATACAAGCACAAGGACGAGTCTGATGGAAATGCCAGTTATGTTAGTCCCTGACCCTTTTACATAAGAACGGCCATACTGGGTCAGACCAAAGGTCCATCTAGCCCAGTATCCTGTCTACCGACAGTGGCCAATGCCAGGTGCCCCAGAGGGAATGAACAGAACAGGTAATCATCGAGTGATCCATCCCAGTGCCCATTCCCAGCTTCTGGCAAACAGAGGCTAGGGACACCATCCCTGCCCATCCTGGTTAATAGCCATTGATGGACCTATCCTCCATGAATTTATCTAGTTCTTTTTTGAAGCCTGTTATAGTCTTGGCCTTCACAACATCCCCTTGCAAGGAGTTCCACAGGTTGACTGTGCGTTGTGTGAAGAAATACTTCCTTTTATTTGTTTTAATCTTGCTGCCTATTAATTTCATTTGGTGACCCCTAGTTCTTGTGTAATGAGAAGGAGTAAATAACACTTCCTTATTTACTTTCTCCACATCAGTCATGATTTTATAGACCTCAATCATATCCCCCCTTAGCCGTCTCTTTTCCAAGCTGAAACGTCCCAGTCTTATTAATCGCTCCTCATACGGAAGCTGTTCTATACCCCTAATAATTTTTGTTGCCCTTTTCTGAACCTTTTCCAATTCTAATATATCTTTTTTGAACCACATCGACCACATCTGCAGGAGGTACAGGAGGGGCTCTGGGTTTGCGGCGGCTCAGGGCAGGGGCAGGGGTTGGGGAGCAGGAGGGGGTCAGGGCAGGGGCAGCGCACGGAGCCCCGTGGCCCCCCTGCCTAGAAGCCAGAACCACTGCTGGCTGCTTCCGGGGCATTGTGTGGTATTGGAAAAGGTAGGCACTAGCCTGCCTTGGCTGGGCAGCACCGCCGACAGGACTTTTAACGTCCCGGGCAGCGGTGCTGACCAGAGTGATCCAGTGCCTTATATGCCGCGACCGACTTGAACTTTGAAAAACACTGGTGTAGAGCAGCCTGATTACCAAGTGTGATGATGGCTTTAGTTGCATACATTAGGCAGGGATGTGGTTGCAAAATGTTTGGTTAATTGATTTCCTGTCTGGATTGTAAGCTTAAAATAAATGGAGCACACCAAACACTAGGAGATGACTAAATTAAAATAATGTTCATGAACACTCCGTCTCACAATTAAAAATGACAATTAGCTATACTTCTCAACTAATAAAACACAAGTAATGTATCTATACCCCTGAAAAGGGGAAAGAGAGTGCAAATGTGGAACCCTGAGCAATTTTGGCCATCTGCTTTTAAACACATTTGCATGATTTCTATTTGTACATCCTATTTTATATCCCAAGCCCCTGCAATTTTTATGTCACGGCCTGTGAGGCACCCATGCCAATTTTTACATGGTTGACATGAAAGTGCCAATTCAGAAAGGATTCAGCTGGAATAACATCATATCACTGATCATTACCAGGCGTGTATATGGATTCCTGAATTTTAAGAGTAAAAAATGTTTTCATTATCTATTTCTAGACCCAGCCCCAACCTCTGGCCTTTTAAGCCTTCAAATTGTTATGGAATGCTATGGCATTGTAAACTACAGAGCACGTTTCAATGGTTTGTTACCATATACCCAAGTTTTAGGCTGTTGAGAGGCAGCTATTTCTTGGATAGCCGAGCTTGAAAGGGAAACGGTTCTATCTTTTCAGATTCAGTACTCAACAGCACTTTGGAGGTAGCCTGGCTGCTTTTTTCACATTTTGTTAAAAAGCTAAACTGGGAGCATTTAGCTCCCAATTTATCTATTTAAGTAAAAAGTTAAACTTTAAAAGCACCCTGTTGCTCTTCAAATGGTAGCAGCCAGTCAAGATAGTGTACAAGAAAGAAAGACAAAACTAGACAGACAAGGTGTATAAGAACTTTGGCTGTCCAGGCTGCATAAAACTTTCATATATAGTGTACAAATTGATTATGGCACGATGTGAATGCTTATCAAAAATTGAATTAAAAATAGAACTGAACTTACTTTTCCCCCTTTCTTTGTATTAATCCATCTCATTTGTATAATGGATGTGTGGAGATCTATTATGTGAATTAGGTGATCTGGATAACTTAAAACATAGGTTATAACATCCCCATCTGGCCCATCAGATTATGAATTAGGACATTCAGTATTGTAAAGATGTTTGTTACAAGGGATGCTGGGGTTAGTTTTGATATTTGACCCAGCCTTTATTTTTTGGTCTCATCCAGTTTCCTGCCATTGCAGCAATCTTGGCATTTGGACACCTTCCTCTCTCCCGCTGTTTCCCAGTGGCACATAGTTTAATTTCCTGAGGACTGAAATGCTTTAGTATAACTAAAGTATTTGAGTTTAATATAGGGGCATCGGGATGAAAATGAATAGCCTGTGATATACAGAAAATGGTTCCTTCTGGCCTTTAAACCATATAAAATGAAATGAAGTTGAGAAACTGTCAATGACTTCAGTGGGCTTTGGGGCAGGCCTTTAAAGTACAGACAAATGAAAGTGGTATATCCTAACCTGGCATGATAGTCTTCTTGCACTCATTGCATTTGGAAGAGTATTCATTGGAATAGCATTCAGTACAAAGTAGATGCTCCTCTTTTGCAGCAAAAGGTTTGTCCACCAATGAGTTCTTGCATTGGAAGCAGTGGAAACAGGTTTCATGCCAGTGCCGGTCCTTGTAGGACAGATCCTGTAGAAATCCAAAACCACAGAATAAACAGAATGAATAATTTGCACAACTGTAAATTGGGAGACTATCCAAGTGTAAGCAGAGTCAGAATGAGCTCTACTCTAAGATCTGGTGGTGAGCTGTGGAAAAGGACTTCAGAGGCTGATCTCATTTGCATGGGCACACCCACCCACCCACTGTTTGCCCAAATGGTCACTTTGCCTGCTATGGGATCCCCAGTCTCTTTGTTATTGGAGCAGGAGTAATAAAGTAGTGTTATCCTGGTTATTTGAATCAAGGACAGTAGAACTGTACTTGGCATTTTATGATGGAGGAACTCACCCTCAACTAAGTAGCACTCGCTAGGCAAGGGACATGGGTTCCAAAGCCCAGTGAATTGAGAGAGGTTGGGGATAGGTATGTGTACCTGGTAGTATGGGCTCTCTGGACCGCTTAATGGTGTAGTTAGGAGTCTTGTTAGGTGCTGCAGAGCTGACATCACTGATTACTAGGTCTAAGCATTAGACATACTAGTGGGCTAGTGGTTCTGAGTGTGCTAGTACTGAGGGCCCCCTAATAACAGCTGAAATCACTGAGAGCTGTGTTAAATAGGGGAAGGGCCTGAAGACAAGTTGGTGAGTGGCTAGCAGGATGGCTAGCAGAGAGGAGCGGCCAGCAGGATGGCTGGTGGAGCGATGCGGCTGGCGATTAAGACTACAGCAGAACCCCGCGGAGAGGCGTGGCAATCGGCCGTTGACCTGAGCAGCGGAGCACATAAGGTGCCCCCATACCTCCCCGTCCTTCCACTCAGCCTGGGTGGTGAACTCTGCAGATGAACTTCTGAACTCTGGGGTTGCACTGACCACGGACACAAACTGTGGGTGGGGTGACTGTTGGGTTGCTGGACTTAAGACCCTGAGGGACACTGACAAGCTTACTTGGGGGTGGGTCTTTTGCTCATGGTTTGTGTTATGAATCCTGTTTGTCGTGTTTCCCCACATAATGCCGCATTGTTTCCCTCCTTTATTAAAAGGTTTTTGCTACACTCAGACTCTGTGCTTGCACGAGGGGAAGTATTGCCTCCTAGAGGCGCCTGGGGGGGCAGTATGTAATTGTCCCAGGTCACTGGATGGGGGCTCGAGCCGGTTTTCCATTGTGTTATTGAAAAGGGACCCCTAGATACTGAACCTGGCCCTTGTTGTTGCCAACTCTGATGGGCAGAAGGGTTACACAAGGATATCCAAGTCTGAATCATGTAGCCAGGTTTTGAGGCTTATTCATACAGCTCAGGAAAACAAATTGTCCTGCTTGACGATGAACTGATTTGCTGTGGTTACTCAAAAAGGCAAAAGACAATTCTATCTCCTTTACAATAGGCTTTAAACAAAACCCCAAAAGCAATGTAACCTTTGCTTTTTGTAATACCACACAGAAACAAGTAGTCTCATTTATGTATTTCCCCTAACAATTAAGTCATTAACAGAAATATAATAAATTTTCAACCTCCGTCTTGGCCATTGCTGTCTTCTAGGTCGTTCCTCCTTAACATGGGTCTTGGTAGACATCTTTGTTCCACATTCATCTCTGGTATTAATTCCATTTGTTAATGGTTTTACACTAAGGATCGAACTGGCCATGTATCTCTCCATTTTTTAAGACTAGCTTTAGTTCAGTTTTACTTAGATGCTAAATATGGGTCAGAACTGTCACTACCACTTTGCTGCTACTTACGTTGCTGCTTTGCCATGGGCACCCCAAATAGATGCGATGTCACATCATTTCTGTAGGTGCCACTCTAGAACTGTCTGATATTAGGATTGGCATCACCGTTCCAAACAATATTTCTTCCACTGAAATGTCAGTGCAGAAAATGATTTTAAAGGATTGTCCTTTTAGGAATGATTAAAAACCCACGTCCACTGTAACTCCCAAAGTCTTTGGTGTTTCAGACAAAACCCAGATCCAAACCATCCTGATTTTACGAAATAAATCTCAACTAAAAAGGTTTTGGGGAAAAAAATAAAAGAAAAAAGAAGACAGCAACCCATTGCATTTTTGCATAGGTTGAATAATCCAAAATACTTGACTTACTCAAGGGCCTCTTAAATGTATAGGTTCTCAGAGTTTGCATTGATTCCTGTATCATGAAAAGGCAATTTTTAAAACACACTGGAAAAACTAACCTTTCACTTTCCATTTAAAAACTTACCTATAATTTGGACAAACTGCTTGCACTAAATTATATTGGTGAACAGAAGAGAGAAGAATGAACCAAGGAATGTCAGCATTTTACTATCATCAGTGAGACAGATCATTAACAGTGGCACAGTGAGAAAATCTTGTTTGAATACCTGCCCTGCTCACCTCAACTCCCTCAAAATCTCTTTTCAAGTAGTAATTGAGGATGTTCTTCTTATTCCTACTCTGAGGTCACACAAAGTGTAATACCCATAGAGGTTCCTATTTCACTGTTTTCAAAGAGTTATTCATACAACTTGCTCTGTTCACGTCAGACACAACCTTCTGAAAGAAACCAGTTTCTGATCCTTAAATATCAGATTTTCTAACATCAAAATGAAAAAAAAAAACCCCTATTTTGTTGAAGAGATTGATATTTACATTTATTTCTTGAAAGGAAGTTGAACAACTTAATCATGATCTCCAAGAAATAATATTTTTCCTGGAAAAGTGCAACCTAGAGCCAACAGAGAGCTTTCCAAAATGTGAAATTTCATTGGTGGAAAATGGAATGACTGCAAATCCATTTTCTTTATTGTTGTCTTTTGTGAAACTGGAGGCATTTTTAAACTTAGGAAACTGGAAAAAATAAGAATTTTTCTCCCCCACCCCATTTTTAATTTTTTTTTTTATTATTTTTTGCTGTGTTCTTCAAAATATTTTTTACCTCCAAAGTTGGTAAAGTGGGTATCTGTTAACTGCTTATTTTTTTCCCTTTTTGCTTATATAATCTTCACCAAAAATCCAACTTGCACTTTTTAAAGTTGGAAATAATGAAGCCTATTGTGACGGGTTGGATCACAGAAACCCCCTTGGGAGCTGCCACCTGATGTACCAAGACTACCCCTGCTTCTGTTTTCCCTGCCAGCTCAGGACTCCAGCACCCTGTCTTGCTGAGCCAGACACTCCCGTCTGCTCCAACACAGATCCAGAATCTGAATAACTTGCCCCAAAGCTGCAAGTTTACCTGAAAACAGCTCACAGAAGTGTGCTTGTCTCTAGCACTCAGATGCCCAACTCCCAATGGGGTCTAAACCCAAATAAACCCGTTTTACCCTGTATAAAGCTTATACAGGGTAAACTCATAAATTGTTCGCCCTCTATAACACTGATAGAGAGGTATGCACAGCTGTTTGCTCCCCCAGGTATTAATACATACTCTGAGTTAATTACTAAGTAGAAAGTGATTTTATTAAATACAGATAGTAGGATTAAAGTGGTTCCAAGTAGTAACAGACAGAACAAAGTAAGTCACCAAGCAAAATAAAATAAAATGCGCAAATCTATGTCTAATCAAACTGAACACAGATAATCTCACCCTCAGAGATGCTTCAGTAAGTTTTTTCTCAGACTGGACACCTTTCAAGCCTGGGCACAATTCTTTCCCCTGGTACAGCTCTTGTTCCAGCTCAGGTGATAGCTAGGGGATTCTTCATGATGGCTCCTCTCTCCCTCTGTTCTCTTCCACCCCTTTATATATCTTTTGCATAAGGCGGGAACCCTTTGTCCCTCTGGGTTTCCATCCCCCCGCCCCCCACTGGAAAAGCACCCAGGTTAAAGATGGATTCCAGGTCAGGTGACATGATCACATGTCACTGCAAGACTTCATTACCCACTTGCCAGCACACACATATACAGGGAAGACTAACAGATAAACACAGCCATCTGCAGACAATGGTCCTGGTTAATGGGAGTCATCAAGATTCCAAACCACTATTAATGGCTCACACTTTGCATAATTACAATAGGCCTTCAGAGTTATATTTCATATTTCTAGTTTTAGATACAAGAGTGGTACATTTATACAAATAGGATGACCACACTCAGTAGATTATAAGCTTTGTAATGATACCTTACAAGAGACCTTTTGCATGAAGCATATTCCAGTTACATTATATTCACTTCTTATTATGTTTTTTTAAAACCACATAGACTGCACAACGTCACACCTATGCCTTTCCCTTTTCTTTAACAATGAAATGTTTTTTGTCCAGAAACCTCTAGAGTCATCAAAGCTAACCAAAGCTAGGTTAAATCTTGAAGTGTAATGTAGACATATTGGCTTTGCGAAATTGCTGAGCTGTGGTTGAGCTGCATGTGCAATGGTGACTTGAAGCCAAATTACGTCCTACCGCTGGACCAGTCTCCAGTGCAAGTTAGAGCAGCCTCAGACCTCCTCTAATTTCCATTGGCTGCTCACAACTGCGAGTTGTTCCAGCAGCAGCAGGGATCATGGCTATAAAGACACTCGATCCATCCTCACTACATGTATGAGGTCAGGAGGGAGTGACATAAAGCCATTATCATGGTAGTATGACATCCAAGGATCCCCCAGCATTAGAAAGCATTCTCAAGAGACTTGTTAAGCTGGCTTCATAGTGGCTTTGTGCAACCAGAGTGGAGCAAAGCAGCCCGAGTGCAGATAAGGATCTGGCCCAATGTATCCATTAACCCTGATTTTTAAACCAGTATTATGGGTGCAACTTTCGAGGCTGTTTTTGAAAATGTACGTTTTAGCTTGTGCTAACTGATGTACAGGTGAGAGATTCTGTTATCCTATTGACATGGGAAGCAAGCATAGGTGAGAAATGTAGAAGGGTTACCTTGGATGGATCATGGGTCTCTGACCAAAGTAAGGAAGTTGAAACTGTGTATGTGTGTGTGTACACATGCACATTTGTTTATGGTATGAATGTTCTATAGCCTACGCAAAGAAAGAGTGCTCTAGACAAATCTCAGGGATATGTGTTACTGGTTAAAGCAGAGGGGGGGAATTGCATCCTTCTGCAGAGC